TAGATAGATAGATAGATAGATAGATAGATAGATAGATAGATAGGTAGGTAGGTAGGTAGGTAGATAGATGCATACATACATACATACATACATACATACATACATACATACATACATACATACATACATACATACATACATACATACATACATACATACATACATACATACATACATACATACATACATACATACATACATACATTTAAAACACTTACGATATCATGTGCATTATCGCTGACGTAAAACGTGGCTGCGACTTCTATGGCAGGGCTATTTGTATACCTTGCGGTAATCACTCCATTTCTCAGTACGTATTTATACTTGAACGTCGTTCCTCTTTTATCCAGTGTACTTGTGTTGTTTACTGAATACTTCAATAAACTGTGCAAAACAGAAAAGGTGACTAAAAATTGGTCTTTTAAAACATTTTTATCATGCAATCGTACATAATCTGATCAGTTGCATTAGATTCGACACATGATGATTTGTGACGTCAGTAGTATCGGGCACTGAACATTACTATATACCTACGTCAGCAGTACTGACGTAATCATGAAAACAACGTTATTATGCCAAGGTACCGATCAAGTTTTTTCAAGCCTTTTTTGTTGATATTTGTTATATAATGCAAGTTTCTATGCCAATCATGCACTGCTATTGAGTGCAAACAGTGGAGGGAGAGGGATACAACAATTCCCACAGCGTTTGAAGAAACTCCCATTTCTGCAGTCAACCTTTCTTATGAAAATGGCACCAAGGGCAATCGCAAGAAACCAAGGCATATAACTGGATTAGGGTAGTTTTGTTATTTTCATGTTGACTTCTGTGAGTCAAATTTTTATTCGTTTACGTCCATGACCCTATACATCCACTATTACCCTCACTCCCCCCCTTCACCACTGTTGTGTGACTGACATAGTCGCTGAGATGTCAATCACATTCATGTTGTAGAAATAGAATATGTATCAGGACTTATATAGCAACAATGAGGAATAAAATGCGTGCACTTACAGGCAAGTGTGTGAAACATGGTACAAAGTTGTCTCCTTATTCCTAACGATGGTAACAAAACATGGTGGTGATATTGCTGCTTCACTGAGAAAATTACTAGTTACCCATGGGCTACGTATCCTGGTGAGAAACAACTTCCTGGATATAATTATTGTGGTCCTGGAATCCGACTTGTTATCCGACTCAACTAGAAAGATCAACTAAGACCAGGGGAGTATCCAATAAATGCGATTGATCAATCGTGCCATTTTCATGAAGTTGAGCATAAAATCCAGATCTTTAACTAAGGCATATTGCAGACGTAAAGTTGATTCACACTCTATAGTCTGTAAAACATACATCTTAGAGAATCGTTTACTAACTTTTTCATAAGATGTGCGATGAAAGGTAAACTGTTGATAGGGCTTTGTACTTAATCATAGATAACTATTATACGTAGTCAATGTATTATAGGACAAGAGGATATTGGATGGGTAGTGCGGCGATTTGTAAATTTGCTGATACAGCAGGTGTTGCACGTTCCGTTGCTGCAGATTATTAGCACGACAGGAATTATGGCAAACTAATCTACAACTGCCTTAAAAACTCAGTACTTACAATTTGATATGGGCACTACCAAAGAAGTTCATCAAACCGATATTTTGCTTTACTACGTGACACTATTAAAACTGGTAGTTGTCTATCATGCACAAATAGGCGTTGACTGTCGTTGGTGTTGAAAGTAGATCTAAAGAAGCCGAGCCACTATCAACTAAAACAAAAACTGAAGCTGCATCTGCAATTGAACTAATTTATCAACATGCAGGCCTGCGATAGCCACAGTTAATTACAGGTCGATCCTGGCAATGAGCTGCTTTGGTGCAGTAACATCTCTAATGCAACAACATAACGTCAAAAATCAGATGAGGACACACATCCATTCTTCGCCACCAGCCAATCGTTGAACGATTTAATTGAACAGTTGCTACGAAATTGTTTACATGTTGGTATTCGAAGAAAATATTCGTCGACTAAAGTCCTTGAACAAAGCTTAGGCGTACACAAGATGTCGTGAATGGGTTGCAGGACTACTAAGTATGATAAATGAGTTAAATAATGAAATTACTCTTGGAATTTGTATGAAACCCTTCAAAGCTATCTCAAAGAAACACATACAATGCAAGCGACTTGACTCTTCCTCTCAGAAACCGTTACTCGGTAATGTGACGGTCAGATAATTATATGAACCAGGTGAACCTAAAGGAGGTAAAAAAGAGCAACCGATCCTATTTTTAGTGTCACAACACATAACGTTTCCAGCATGGTAAGATCAACTGGTAGGATTACAATCTACAGATTAGATTCAACGGCCCCCTAACACGGATTTGTCGGTGAACAGTTACAAGTAGTCTCTGAAGATACACAATTACTACTATCATGGATTCGTTGGCAAAGGAATGAACTAGCTCTTCGACACAGATTACTAACAAGACAGGTTAGCAAAACATTTTCATGTGTGTGGCCAAGATTACCAATAATTCTATCCACAGTAAATTGTATTTGATGCTGTCACGACATTACTGAGTTACAGCAAGAGTAGTGATTATTTTGTCATTGTTTCAGCGTCATGATATACTCGACATCAAAATGAAAGTCGCTTTACTGTCACATTGCTGATAATCAGACAATTGTTTCCTTACTACATCATCGCCATTGTTACCAGAACTGAGACATTCTTCGAAGAATTTGACCATTTGATACGATTATCCACAACCCAAATCACGCCATCAATCGTTATTCCTAGCGATGAATGAATTGTCAATGGAGATCTATCAATCCTTAACGCGCTTTCAACACTGTTGGCAAATACAACTTCAATATCATTAACAATGAGCTTTGTTCTTTCCACGAATCCGGAATTTCAACATCAATATTTTGTTTACGCGTATCTGCTGAGCGATAAGATAACGGGACAGATAGCTCAAAAACTTTTCTTTACGTAACATATTTGTCTCTGAAGTGAATCACGAACTATTTTTCTAGATCCTATCAAATCGCTAGGGTGCCATATCTTCCATAAACTAGTTTGTTGTCTTTGGAATTACCTCATGCATTATCAAGTACCGCTGTCCGGCTGCAGCCTGTTTATTTTGTCAAACTCAGCGATTCATCAATAGATCCATGATCATCAAGTATTTCATCATAACAATCTATGAATTCATTAAACCAGCGATGTAGCGATTAACCGACAAAAGGTTGTGATTGATCTTGATCACCAAACATGATAACGCCGAACGTCTTCAATACAATCACCCATGTATCGGTTTCCATACGTTTTGCTACTGAGCGAAATGAGTAACATCAAACGGAAAATAAAACAAATATTCAGTTATCGTTGTACCTCATCACTATCGTTCATGTATCTCAATGCAGTCTTGGTCATCTTCGTATGAAGAGATTCTGCAAGATAAAGATCACCGCACCTCAGCACACATTGTTCGGATTTGCTGTCCTGGTTACTCTAGAACATCCAAAAGGGTACTGGGTCAGTTTTGGTGTTCTCATAAATATATTCGAATGCATCGTCATCTTCAGCTGCATAGAATCGGACTTTTATATCGTGGGAATATTGTAATACTTGGCAGCCATGGATGCGTTTTATGGTCCATTATTACTATCGGAGCTCCATTTCTAAAATATTTAGCTCTTTACAAAGCCACTTATTGTTTTGACCTCAATCTGAAATCTTACTCTTTGTCTCAATTCCGCAATGTCGCTGATCGTGGTTTCACGTGGTCGCACTTTGAACTCCCACAATTTGTTTTCACGTCGTATATTTGTGAGACCCTTCTCTCGCAACGCGTTCATAAAGTGTTCTGTTATTCTCTGGGTACAACAATTTAGGATATCACTGGTCGTGGTGCTAGCACTACGTTGCATCGGCAATAGCGCATTAATATTGGGCTTTTTTAATAGATAAATCACATAAACAACTGTAATCATCGAGTATGCTCTCTCGTAGTATAGTTGGTCAATTCCAGTCATCATTACTGGTCTAGAATTTTTATCTAACACTTCAACACTCCCGGCTCTAGCACAAAGGTTGTTTCGTGATTGACGAACAGGGTCAGGTTTATCATGGATATTCAAGGTTACATCGTTGACTTTCTTAATGTCCATCGCGGAAACAATAAGTTTATTCTTAGAATATATCTTTGCTCGCCTGGATCTATATAATTAATGGTTGTCATTGCTCATTGGTTATTCTTGGTAGCATTCCTGAAAATATTGTCGTGTTTTACTCTGAATGTTGACCCTAAATGCATCGCATTATCATCTCTAAACTTGTTTTTAGCCATACGGATGCGATCAATCAATTTAAGATTAACATCATCTAATATGTGCAGGGGTGAATACTTGGTTCAGCAGTTTGTGTTGGGGACCAGGGCTTATTCTGTCAAGATTGAGTCTAGCTGGAGATGGTTTGATCGCAGATAATCTTATAAACTCCTCCATCATATAATTAAAGCAAAAGATATATAAGATTAAAATTCAATTTTTAATATGCAAAGACTCGAGCAAGGAATACTTGCAAATGGTTGATGTTTCAATCAACAAATCCGTGTAATAAGGCTTGTGTAACGAATTTCTGTGGATATCACTTGCAGAGTGAACAACGATGGAATCGAGGACCTAAACCGTGTCTGAAATGCAACAGACGGTTCAGGTGAAAACGCAGTTGTGCGTAACGTGTGTCAGTAAAATATACTGAGCTTTGAAACTGTATGTGTGTGTGATTTAGATTTTTAACGTAATGTTAACAAATTTTCAATTATATCGCTACGATATCTACAGTATGACAGTTTACAGTGATGTCTAGCGCTGGAGCATGATGTCCCACCCAGTCACATTATCCTGATACCCGGCCTACCAGTCCTAATACTAACCTCCTAATGCTGAGTATCAAGAGAGGAAGCTGTTATTACCATTTTATAAAGTCTTTGGTATGACTCGTCCGGGGCTCAAACCCAAGACCTCCCGCATCCGAGGCGGACGCTCTAACCACTAGGCCACCGGAGAGGTCGCTATGAACACTATCTGTTGCCATCGTCGACTATGAAAACGTCGATTTACCATTTGAGTCCATAAAAGAGAACATCCAATGACGGTACCATTTTTGGCATCCACAATGAGTTTTGTCAGTATTGCTTTACCTGCATCACCGATAGGGCATGAGATTGCATCATTATCGGTAGCCTTTCTTTCATTTACAACTGTATGCTTGGCTCCGAAAATAACTTCACAAACATTTCTGCAGACGCCGAAGGTACTTTACAATGGAATTGCGCATAAAAATCTACCGCGTCCATCTTCAGATGGACGTTCTGTGAAATCTGAGTTGAATTATGGATTAGTACCATGAAACACACAACAACGTCGTTGTTATTGGCATTGTTCTTTGGTCGTCTTTTATCATACTGTCTGTTATTAGGATATCCAATAGTATCCTTCACAAACATCATTGTTGGACTGGCTGATTTTGAATAATTATCGGAATATCTTGCTAGAGCCAATATCTTCGTGGAAACGTCGACGTTTTCCAGGTATGATTAAATGTTTCTTCTGTCGTCGACGCTATACGTGTTGAATAATGCCATGATGCCATTATTAACAAAACCTAATTCTAAGATACATTCCATGTAAGAAACATCTACTTTTATCATGAACTTGCAAATCAATTCTTCCACGTTGATTCGGCTCTCGTGCATCATAAGAATAGTACTGATAATCATGTACCGAGGACGGGTGTATCCATGTCAAATACGGGTTCAGATTCACGCTTGAACATTGTTATACTTGCTATCGTCTAGCAAGAAGACCAATTCCTACTATTAGACTTGCAGTTGTATTTTTTTCTTTTCTGATCCTACCACTGGTAGGGGTACACTAGCCAACTCCGCTAATCCTTGATTTGCAGCTTGCTTTGCTAGTTTTACTGACACAAGCTGCCGTAACTTCAGTGCTGGGCAGTTGTACTGGCTAAGTATTTCGTCGTATTAATCGTGTTAGTCTGTCTTTGATTGCTGAGAATGCTTTAATAGCAACATCACCAAAGATGGCAATACCCTTATCACAAAGTCAATAGCTTTAATTCATAGCTGTTTTGCAATCCGTATATTTTTCACGGTTATCATTTTAAATTGACCTGAACAACATCACAAGTCCATCTCCGTAAATCGCTTTATATGATGGTAACCGATAATTTATCACCCTGACCATTACAGGTCTTCGTTGAGCATTAAGTATGATCATCTTATTTGTTTGTCACTGATCTAACTACTTACTGGTTGCTATCGTCACTGATCTAACTACTTACTGGTTGCTATCGTCACTGATCTAACTACTTACTGGTTGCTGTCGAGATTCGACTGTGTCGAGATTATGCACTGTAGTAATCGTCTTCTATTTCATCAAGGAGGCCCCGATAAACATAATATCCATGCTACCACTCGTCAATAATCGCCGACAAAGAGATGCTGCTTTGTTGACTATTTATGGGGGAATTTTCGACGTCTCTTTGTCCACAAATAAGGATTTATAGTCTATCAGCATCAGCAAGGACGTTATTGGGCCACTGGGAAACAAGATCGCTACCTGAAGTAGCAATTCCACTGCCAGTGAATTCTGAACCTTTTGCATATTGCCGAAACCCCATGACGCAGTTCTGGGGGTGTCGATCTCGGTACATGACTTTTCTTTCCTGCTCTTGAGAGTGATTCTATGTTTTGCTTTTCTCCTTCAAGTCGCTGCATCATTCATTCTAGACATTGCTTGATCCGCTTTTCTTATATACTCACCCACTGTTCGGCTAAAATGTTTGAAAGCTTCATCGTAATTTCTGACTTGCAGAGCATTGACAATAATGCGATACTTGTGTACATCACGATGTTTTTTAGATCCTTAACATACTCATGGTTGACATACTTTTCTTTAGTTAAACCCAAAATACAGCAATTTCAAGTAATTTGTCCTTATCCCTGCTAGCTCCATGTTCGTCCTCGGTAATTGTATCTAACAAAGCAACTCTAAATTTCATCTCCTCCTCTACATCCAGTAATGGAATACGACCTTTATCTGAAGAGATCTAAGCAAGAACCTCTTCAATACCTGCCGTTAAGTGTGGCTGATAATCAGCTATATCTCGAAGACTCTTGTTTGTGTTTTTAGTTCTTTAAACGATTTTCCCAGATGACATGGCGGTTTGCTTTAATGTGGGAAGAAGACCTTTGATAGCCTCTGCAACTGGTTTAAATAATTCTTCCGCATCTTCTGTAAGTTCCACTCGAGCATGCTGACGCTGCTGTAATTGTTGCTTGACAGAATCACGGACGGGGAGATATTGCTTAATTGCCTCTAAATGTTCACGAACCAATTTAGCTGTAAGAGATTCCATGGTAAACGCAGTATGGTTCATTCTTATTTGTATAATGACGATTTAATTAGGTCACCTGACCGCCGCTTTCTTTACGCCCACTCTCTGGTGTTTATACCAGGACTCTGTTATGCACACAACAGCTGGGTTGTGGGACCAGTGATGGATGTCACAAGTCATGAAAGAGGACGCATACAAAATTGATAAACGAAAGTCAAAAGAAAAATACAAATATGCTAACCCGGTTAGAGGCTTCAGTTTATTGCTAGTGATGTTGGTGCCATTTTCGTAGATGGGATTGATTTTAGAAATGAGACTTTCCTCAAATGTTAAAAGAGTCCCCTTATTTATATGATTATTCAGAAAAGATCTTAAACATTTTGAACAATTTTTGTTTTCATTTATTATACCTTTTGAATAAATTTATTGTATACCTTCTGACTAATGTTGCGGTGTGGGATTACTAAGACAAATGATTTACAGAATAAAACCTAAGGCTATAATTACAGAATCGCTTTTCATTATGAAATCTATTGATAAGAAGGGCTTGCTTTCTGGATTAAATCGAGATAGGCAGGCATGGCTATATTTATTGGTTGACAATAAATTAATTTTAATGTAACAAAAATAAAATAAAATTATTTATTATATTGTGTCAAGCAATTTTCAAGTTCTTTATCGTGTCTACCAATGTATGTTGTATAGTAAATTTTTCGTTTTCGAATATCAGTCTAACAAAACCATATTGAAAGTAAATATCAAAATGCGCATATGCGGGTATCCACACAATGTTACCGTACCTCTTACTTAAAAAAAATAATGAAAAATCGATCGATAAACATATACATATAAACAAACACATACACACATTTACAGACAAAACACATATATACACATATTCATATACACAAACACATTTACACATACACATATACGCATATAGAGACTCATAAACACATACACATAATACACATGTACACATATATGCATATACCACATGCTTATATACACACATACACATACAAACATATACACACAAACGCATCTATACATACTCATATACACACATACAGATACATAAATGCTTATTGTACCTATTTATTTTGTTTACTAAATTATCTACGTTGCATCAATTCATATCTACTTACATTCCCTTCTGATAAGCCGACCATTCTTCGGGAGTAGGAGGTGGAGGTGAAGGTGGAATTGTCCATGCAACTGTAATTTAGTTGAAAAATACATAAATATTTGCCTACTTGTACAGATGCAAAAAGTTGTTTTGCTATATTTCATTTATATGAATATAAATGGTATTTGATGTGTGAAAAGGAATGCTCTGGAAAGCAATAAGCAACCAAACATGAATTTTGGATCCATCAGGGCCACATCATTCACAGCAGTTATTCCTATGACGGTGTACCAGACTGCGGACGCTGTATTATTCACATTGGATATTTTATTCCAACATAACTTGGTCTATGGCTTCATTTTGGTACTACAGTAAGCGTTCGGATCATCAAATATAAGTACAAATATTTGCCCTTTGAGCGGAGTTAACATTAACCACAGGCAACTGTGCATTGACCAACTGAATAAACTTATCACATCCCCTCCGAGTGCGTCCGCTACAAAGTGTAGTTCTATATCTTTTGAGGTTATTTTGTAGTTAATTCGTATGTCTTCTCTGATATTGTCTTCTAAGGCACAAGCACGTATCTGTGGATTTTATCGCGACTGATGTTGTATAAGGCATTAATCAATTTGATGAGAGGATCGGATTAAAGAAACGTCATGATGACGATGAGTGAGACTGACCAAACGTATCCGACTTATTAATATATTTTGTTTAAGTCGACGGTAACGTGTACACGACAGCCCTCCGTCTAGGCACCAGTGGTGAAACGGTTAAGAAATGACAAATAATCGGGGGTCGTATGTTTTAAATCCACGTTCAAATAGGCACGAGGGCTTTGAGTGGCATCAAAGTCACTATTTGTTAGTAATCATTTGCTTTTCAAAAGAATTCCATCTCAAGGTATCATAAATAAACAATAATTGGTAACTCTATAGATTGCTTTTATTGTCATAATTTAATTTAACACTATATAAAAATTATTAGTTTTCCGTTTGACGTTTTGCAGAGTTTGCACAGCTAAATGATGATATCACATTCAAACTTTTACTAACCTGGTTTTGATTTCCCCAAGACCTCGTCTATGTCGAACGATTTATGACTGCTCGCACGTGTTACTTGGGTGAACACCATCAACACCAAAAAAGAGTTTAGGAAAATTACAAGTCTCTCCATTATACTATAACCTCTAGAAAAGTACAAGAATGAGGATGCGTTTATAGTAACAAACACAATATGCTGTGCACATATATTTTCATTTTAAGTAAGATAATATTTTATGCATAATCAAATATCTCAAGGATAATATCCCAAGTAGGATAATATCCCAAGTAGGGTAATATCCTAAGTAGGGTAATATCCAAAGTAGGATAATATCCCAAGTAGGATAATATCACAAGTCGGGTAATATCCCAAGTAGGATAATATCCCAAGTGGGATAATATCCCAAATATCCTAAGGCATATAATCTACAAGAAAAACAATATTCAAGAAAAAACATACAGAGAAGCCGTAAAAT